TATATATATATATAACTAAATTTACTAGAAGTGAAGGAAAGGATAACGCTATATGGCATCTTCTAATGCGCACTGCATTTATTGCAAACAAATATCCTGAAAACCTCAAAGTCAGGGAAGACAGTGAAGACTTGGGGACAGAAGGAAAAGACTATATTTCCAAATGGATACAACAGCAATCCTTGATCAACAAAATCAGCCTCAACATGAATCTTCTACTTATTCTCTTGTCAAGTATTTGTATGCTGGTCATTTTCTTGCAAGATGGGGTGCCAGGTTCTATTTCCTCCCCTCCTTATTACATTTTTCTCTCTCTCAGGATGATTGTTTTGCTTCGCATGATCTATATACCCTTATAGTTTTCCGTTTTCTATTAATATCTATGGCTTCTTTTCTCACTACTTCTGCTTCGGGATAAATTTTTTCATTTCTTGATTTTACTTATGGACTATGGATATTAATTCCACTCTCCTCTCATCCTTTTATTATGGGTTGAAGAATCAGTTTACATCTTGATATGTCTGATTCAAGAGAATATTAAGGAGTCCTATTTGGCTTCCTGTTGCTTTTCTTTTTCCTCTATTCAAGATGAGGGCAGATTTTTAGAACTAACTTTGACTAATTAATGAACCTACGAACTGTCTTTCCTTCTTTTTTTTTATCCCTTTTGACCTGGAAAATGGAAACTGAGTACTGAAGGTACTCAAACATGCTACCACACAGAGCCTCTAATCAAGTCCACAAACAAAACATAAATTCAACACCTGCAAACTGATCTTTTATTTCTTTGTTTGGGTTCAAACGTGAGGTGTGATTGTCTCACCTGATACCTGAACTAAATAGGCTAGTCTTTTGTGTTTAAGACAACTCTTTCCAGCATAGTCTAGTCTCCTCACAAGTGGTATCAGAGCATATGTGATTTCCACCTTCGGGAACATGGATGGTGACCTTTGTGGTCACGGTGATATATGTTTGTGTGATTACCCGATTTGTGGTGTTATCTCAGTGTTGGTGAAAGTGTTGACTCCCATGAACCCCAACTTCAACCATGAGTATGCAGACACGAACCTAATATATGCTAGTCTTTTGAGACTTAAGCTTCCCTACATTTGTCCAAACATTTGAGCAGAAAAATCTCCTAAAATGCACTCAATAATCTGTTCTACTTCTTCATGTATTATTGGTGTAACCAAATATGCTTTCCATAAAATTCCCTTTTCTGAAATGTGTTTGATATATTCTCATTGTTTGCAGAATGTGGGAATTCTCAGTTGGTTTGTACATGGTCAGTATTTGGCCTGACACTTTGCTCTTTGCTGCTATTTATGGTGCTGTTGAGTCTTCCTCCATAGCTTTGTTTGGTTCCATCATCGGACAATGGGTTGACAGGCTAACATATGTCAAGGTATATGTTTGTTTCAAATCTTGTCGTGATCCACATTCTCCATTAAGATATCAAGTTTCAGCCACCATACAAATCCCATTGGCAGGTTCTCCAAATTTGGTTGGTAACACAGAATTTCTCCTTCATAGTTGCTGGAGGAGCAGTGGTGGCCTTACTAACATTTACAACCCTCAAGTCCACAGACATTTCAACATTCATCTTTCTGTTGATACTAACCAACATCGCTGGAGCTGTTGGTGTGCTTTCCACACTTGCTGGTACAATCTTAATTGAAAGAGAATGGTAATTAATTTTATAGGAAAATTTTGGAATCTTATAGATGCGGCATACATTATTAGTTCCTGTTTTGATTCTTCTGGTTTCAATTACAGGGTTGTAGTGCTATCAGAAGGTCATCCTCCTGGATTTCTGACACAGATGAATTCTGTAATAAGAAGGATTGACTTGAGCTGCAAGTTACTCGCGCCTGTTATTACCGGGTTCATTATCAGTTTTGTTTCCTTGAAAGCATCAGCTATAGCCTTAGCTCTGTGGACAACCGTAACAATCTGGGTGGAATACTGGCTTTTTATGTCTGTGTATAATAGGATTCCTGCTTTGGGTGAAAGTAGTCTAAAGAGGATCTCAAGAAATTCACCACAGGATGTAGAAGAGATCACATATGCTTCTGAGGAAAGTAAGAGCTTGCTTCCTCCTGAAGAGAATACAACATCAGTGACAAAAAGCAGGAGAAGAAAAGCGATTGAATGGGTCTCAAATTTGCCTTGCATTGGTGCATGGAAAGTTTATTTGCAGCAGGAAGTTGTTCTTCCTGGAGTTGCCTTAGCTTTGCTGTATTTCACTGTCCTCAGGTGAGTACCTCAGCTCTTGTTTAAGGTACATA